TATTTATTATTATTTTTAATATATTTTTTATTTATTTTTTATTTTTAAATTTATTTATTTTTAAATGTACTTTATTTTTTTATTGATTTTATTTTGATTTGATTTAGCCTAGATGTTGTAGTTGTAGCCTTTGTTTCTATTTAATAGCCTTTAATATCTGTATATTTCTACAAACAGACAAAAACTAAAGTGACACAAATTAACCTCAACCCAATCACTTTATGTGCCATCTGTACTGTAAATATGTGACATTCACCCCCCCCACGTGACTCACCATAGTTGTAGTTGTTCCTCAGGTAAGTTTTCATAACCATCCTGACGGTTTTACACTGACAGCGATCTAAACACAAACACAGAGTTAGTGCTGCGTTCAGGAAGCCCCCGATGAAAATAATCACCACAACCAACCATTGAATAGACCGAGGGTTTAAAGTAACGATGGCTTGACCTAATGCTGGGTATCGGTATCGGTCCGAAAATAGGACAAAATGTCCAGGATTGGATATCGAAAAACTGTAGCCAGTGCGATCAGAAAACCAGAGCCCAAATGCTTAACTTAATTCTGTGCGACATGCCAATGTAAACAAGTTGCAGTTGCAGAAAAAAAAGTTGTAGTGAGCCATCCCTGGTTTAAAGACATCTTCTAAATCCAGAAACTTGCAGTAACGTGAGTCTGTTCTCTCTTCTCAAACAGCAGGACGACAAACCGGACAGGATTCGGGGATTTTGTATTGACATATTCTAACAAAGGGTTACAGTCAAATGTAGACTGCTGCGAAGACAAACAGATCAGGCTGGACACACATTCACCTCCATTTGGTCCTCTGCAGTGGAGGTTACTGGAGTCCATTGGAAAGTCTGGACTGGATTCTGTGAAAAAAAAAAAAAAAAATCAAAACACAGGACATGACATTAGGCCTAAATATGGACCGAGAACCAGAGACTGGTTAAATTTACAATTAAAGCTAAGCCCCCACCTGGGTTACAACGGGCTGGATCCTGGTTGTGCGGATCTATAGAAACGTAGAACAAAGAAAAGTTGTTTTTTTTAAAGGTAGCATTAGTTAATCCGGATCAAAGAAAACTCCAAAGTCATAGATTTTAAAACATGTAGAATTATATTTGATGTCATTTTCTTAACTTGGATTTTATTAATACTTGTTTTAATCATTTTTCATAAGCAACAATCTAAATGTCTTTCCTATGTAAAAACTCATTTTGACACTGACCTGGAGATCAATACCATACCAGGTTCTAAATGCACAGATTCAGGGAACGGAGCGCACGTAGACGACTGAGACAAAGAGTGGCTGCTTCAGATTTATGTTCCACAGTGGGACAGACGTCTAAAAGCAACATTCAGCCTCAAGTCCTGCTGGAATGACTTCAACCGCCCTGCCCTGCCTAATTCTCCGCAGGTCAACAAATCACACTGAGGGAAAATCCCAAAAGGCCCACTGGGCTGAGCCAAGCCAGAGCAGCTCAGAGACACGGCCGTGGGCGTAATTCAGCGATGTGATGAGTTTTATTTTATTTTACAGGGACCAACAAGTGCTGGAACACTGGACAGTGAGAGGTTTATGGACTGTAGAAGGAGTGGGCTGCTGCTATCAAGGAGCTCTT